AATGTTGAAGATTCAACTATTTCCTAGGCAATAAGTCTCTATTTCTGAACTGCAAATCCCACAACCAACAACTTATTTTCATAAGTAAAAAGTAATTAATGCTGAAGATTCAAACTTCTACTAATGAATGCCAAGGGATGATGATCTTGCATCAACACAACTCCCAACTTATACCCACAAACATCCATTTCAACAAAAAAAAAAAAATTATGAAGTCTGGTAATGCTAAGACAAGGGTTGTCACCAATTTGTCTTTTAAGGACAAAAAAGGTAATTTTGCCTCAAGGGTCCAAGTAAAATGACCCTTCTTAAGCATATCAATTAATGACTTAACAATAATATCATATCCCTTGACAAACCTTTTTTAATAACTCGAGAGTCCCAAAAAAACCCTTAATTGTTTCAGATTATGTGGCAGTGGCCACTTGGTAACCACTAAAACCTTAGCTGGATCAATTGACACTCCCTCACCCGAGATAAAAAGGCCCAAATATTCACTCATGAGACACTGGAATAACATTTGAATTTCTTGGCATATAAGGAATATCACCTCATATATAGTCAAGAGGATCGTCTTTAAGTGCAACAAATAATCTTTTAAACTAGCATTGTAGAGTAATATATCATCAAAGAAGACAAGGAGAAATCTTCTCAAAAACTCCTTCAAGATATCATTCATCAATCCCTGAAATTTTGCAGGGGCATTGGTGAGCCCAAATGGTATTACCAAATACTCAAAATGACCTCCATGTGTCTTGAAAGAAATCTTATGCACATTAGCATAATACATTCCAACTTGATTATATTCAACTCTTAGATCTATCTTTGAAAATATCACATATCCATGCAATTCGTCTAAAAGATCATCCATCAAAGAAATAGGAAACTTGTCTTTAATTGTATTTTTATTAAGGTCTCTATAATCTACACATAGCCTCTAAGACCCATCCTTTTTACCAACCAAAACTACAAAACTTGCATAAGGATTGTTATTGTGTTTTATAATGCAATTGTCCATTGATTTTTTTTCCAATATATCAATTTCATCTTTTGTTGTTTTCTATATTTGTAAGGGTGTTTACTTTTAGATCGGCTCCTTACACAAGTGGATTTTGTGACCATGTCCTCCTCTTGAAGGAGGCAAATTTGTTGGTTCTTTGAGAGCATATTCAAATTCCATCAACAATTGCTTTAAATCACCCAAGATATCAGTTTCAGGAGTGTGTGTTGTCAATGAATGTAGTAACCCAATTTCTTGGCTGCAAGGTTGTATCACAAAGTAGTGTACACTATTTTCCAAAGCCTTGGACAATTGTTGTTTCCTCACAGTTTTAACATTAGTTGTGCATTGCCACAAGCCAATAAATTCCTAACACCAAATCATAACACCTTAGGGGAATTAACATAACATCATAATTGAATTTAGTACTTTGAATTGTCCAAGAGAATCTTGTAATCTTAGAAGAAACTATAACTTTAGTGTCATCCACAATCGTGACATTCAAAGGTTGTACTAGGGAAACTTTACAACCAAACTTTTTAGCTACTTTAATGTACAAGAAGTTATGAGTGTTTCCACTATCAATGAGCACATGCAAAGGTTTCTTTCCAACATAAACAGTGATTCTTATAGTCTTAAAACTGGTTAGAATAGTCATAGCATTCACTGAAATTATAGGGTCAGTAGTGTCATATTCCACTATTTCTTTAGCAAGTATGTAATTTCCTCAACTTCCATTACATGAATTTGTATTTTTTTTTTGTATTAGACTATGCTCCACAGTAAAGGGTTCATCACATAAGTAACATATAAACCCTTGGCACATTGTTCATTCATATAATTTGGGGTAAGACTCTTTGTAGCTTGTGTTTTAGGTTGGAATGTGTCTAATGATTTGGGTAGGTTAGGTTGTATAAGATGTGTGTTTGCAGGAATGGTTTACGGAATGATTTTGAGGTTGTGGTGGAATTGGTGTTGGATTCATATAGTTTGGCCAAGGAAAATGGTCTTTGTATAAAAATTGGCTGGAACATGTGTACCATCATTTGAACATCTTGTTCTAATCCTCCAAGGAATCAACTCAATTTGTGTTTCTCAGACAAACTCAATCTATGTTCCACAGTGAAGGGTTCATCACAAAAGTAATATAAACCCTTGGCACATTATGCACTCATATAATTTGGGGTAAGGCTCTTTGTAGCTTGTGTTTTAGGTTGGAATGTGTCTGACGATTTGGGTAGGTTAGGTTGTATAGGATGTGTGTTGGTAGGAATGGTTTAGGAAATGGTTTTGAGGTTGTGGTGAAATTGGTGCCGGATTCATATAGTTTTGCCAAGGAAAATGCTCTTTGTATAAAAATTGGCTAGAACATGCGTACCATCATTTGACCATCCTGTTCTAATCCTTCAAGGAAGCAACTCAATTTGTGTTTCTCAGACAAACTCAATCTAGCAACAATAGAATCAAATGTCTCATGATAATTTATAATCAACCCTTATTGTCTTAGTTTTATTAAGTTTGTCATACGATCATCACAAATCTCTCCAAACCTCTCAACAAAAAATCTAGTATTTTTTTTGCCAAGATAAATTGGTAATCATATAGTTTTAACATAAGCATTGTGCCATGAAGCAAACTACCCTTAAAATAACAACAATCAAACATACTTTGTAATCATTAAATTGTATTGTTAATAAAAAAAAGTTTCACATTGCAAGATCCATTGTTTCATAGCATTACCATTAAATTTTGAAAATTCAATCCAAGTCAATCGGGTACTAGAAGAGTAAGTAAAAGATTTTTCATCATAAAATTACAAAATTCGACTAGTAATTTGTCCCAAGATTTTGATTCTTAAAAAAATCTTATAACTGAACTTATAGTTATTGAGACAAAAATTGAGTCAATAATTCGATATAGACATAAATATAAATAAATTTATATTAAAACTTATTTATAAATAACATATAATAGGAAAATTTTTACTGTATGTATTAATTTTATTTATCTAATTTATTTATTTATTTTTAATTAGATTTAGACTTATATTATATGATTAAATATATGTTTATTTAATATACATTTTAGATTAAACTTGACTTCAGTTTTTATTTTATTTTAAAAGTTGATTAATTAATTTTTTAATCTTAAAAAAATAAATGAATTTAGTTCTTCCATAATTTTATGATAATAAAATTTTATTATTAAATATTTAATTTAATTATACATATAGTTTAAACATATTTATTTTTTATCAAATATATTAACATAAAAATTATAATTAAATATTGAATTTAAGTAATCATGTTTTTTTAAAATAAATATTTATTTAATCAGTTTAAAAATAAAAAAAGGTACAAACAAGTTAAAAAAAAAAGATAAAACATAGGTTTCCTTTATTATGTGTTATTAATGTAAGATTATTAATTATATATGTATCCTGGATAGCCGAAAATACATATTTTTTATTTTAAATAAAAAAAATTATCTCAAAATCTATTTCAAATAAAATTGTATTATAAAACATTAGTACACATAAAATTATTCTTTTAAAAAAATCAATTTAAGTAAGTTGTATGATAAAATGTTTAATAAAATTATTATTTTTTAAATAATTTTCATTTTATAAATCCAAATAAAAATACTTATTTTGTTTTGTTTTATTCTTAAAAAATTGTAAATAAAAAATTACTAATAGATAATAAATATCCACCCATATAAATACTATGAAATTCGTAGTCATTCTGTTATAGGTAGATTGTGAAAAGCACTTATACGTATTATCCACTAATAATATATATATATATATATATATATATATATATATATATATATATATATATAATCATAATAAAATTTAATTATAAATATTTGTGAATTTGTTTGTAACGAGGTCCTATTTTATATAAAATGTTATATAACCAGTCCACAATCCTATTTTAACATATAATAATAATAATAATAATAATAATAATAATAATAATAATTTTAAATAAAATTATTATTATTATTATATATTAAAATGTATTGTAACATAATCAACTGTGATCGGTGGAAAGCACATGCTCTCACTCTTGTAACAAGAATTGACATTACAAAATGTGTTTTTCTTATTATATTTTTTCATGGCATCTACAAATTATAAATACTTCATATTATGATTTTTTTAAATCTGTTTAAATAAATATTCTACAACAACTTGTAATATTTTTCAATGAAATTAATATATAAATTAATTTCTAAAAACTTTAATTTCTCTAAAACTTTATTTTTCGAGTATGGTTCTAGTATATTCAAAACTTGACATAATCCAATCATTCATATTAAGAATAAGAAAAATCATAAGCATTCACCCAACAAAATTTGAACATCCATTCAACATTCGGATTATAATTAAAATAATTAATAAAAAAGTTAAATAAAGATAATAGATACTGAGTATTGTTAGAGTGGTTGATAAAGAAGAGTGATACATTTATTGTCACTCTAAGAATAATTTAGAAATATTTTTTTAAAGACTAATTATTCAAAGGGCTGATATACGTACAATCTCAAGATTACAAAACATTAATCCTACACCTTTTTATATATATTATATTTTAATATAAAATTAATAGATTATTATCTAACTTGAAATAAAAATGTTATATCAAGTAAACATTTTCCTTATTCAAATAAAAGAAGTATAATCATACTAGTTGACTTGATTAAAATGCACATAAAAACATTTGGTTGTTTAGAAGATTAAGAAATTATGATGGTTGTAATTACAATAGAGTCCCAGTTTGTTGGGGGTTGGGACATTGACACGACATGGTCTCTTCACATGCCTATTGCCGTTGCCCAACACACTCACCCACTCCACCCCCTTCTTATAAAACACACACCACCCTTCAAATTTTTAATCCTCCATAATTCTCTCTAATCCACCCTTCACATCTTCCTCTCTCTCTTTCTTTTTGTAACACAAACACACACACACACACAAAAACACACTCCCATGGAGTTCCTCTTCCTTCTGTACCTCGCCCCAACGTTGTACGCGTGTTTCCTCATCTGGAAAATGTTGGACGAGAGACGAGACAGGGAGTGTTACATCCTCGACTATCAGTGCTACAAGCCCTCCAACGACCGAATGCTGGGCACCGAGTTCTGCGGGAAACTCATCAAACGCAGCCAAAACTTGGGTCCCAGCGAGTACCGTTTTCTCCTGAAGGCCATTGTCAGCTCCGGCATCGGCGAACAAACTTACGCGCCAAGAAACATCTTCGAGGGTCGCGAGGGAACTCCCACATTGCTCGACGGCATTGGAGAGATGGAAGAGTTTTTCAACGACGCCATCGCCAAGCTCCTCGCCAAATCAAAAGTCTCCCCCTCCGAGATCGACGTCCTCGTCGTCAACATCTCCATGCTCGCCGCCGTTCCCTCCCTCTCCTCACGCATCATCAACCGCTACAAGCTCCGCCACGACATCAAGGTCTACAACCTCACCGGCATGGGTTGCAGCGCCAGCCTCATCTCTATGGACATCGTCAAAAACATCTTCAAGACTCAGAGGAACAAGCTCGCGTTGTTGATCACCTCCGAGTCCCTCAGCCCCAACTGGTACACCGGGAACGACAGATCCATGATCCTCGCCAACTGCTTGTTCCGCTCTGGCGGCTGCGCGATTCTCTTGACCAACAAACGGTCCTTGAAGGACAGAGCCATGCTGCGGTTGAAGTGCCTGGTGAGGACGCACCACGGAGCCAGAGAAGAGGCTTATGGTTGTTGTATTCAGCAGGAAGACGATCAGGGGAGGCTCGGGTTTCACCTTGGAAAGACGCTTCCCAAAGCCGCCACCCGAGCCTTCGTTGATAATCTTCGAGTCATAGCACCCAAGATATTACCCATCCGTGAGTTGCTCAGGTTTTTGTTCGTGTCCCTAGTTAAAAAACTGAACAAAAACAACACTCCCAAGTCTGCGAGCACTGGAGCTACTAAATCTCCATTGAACTTCAGAACAGGGGTGGATCATTTTTGTTTGCATACTGGAGGAAAAGCTGTGATCGACGGCATTGGCATGAGCTTGGATCTGAGCGAGTACGACCTAGAGCCGGCGAGGATGACCCTGCACCGGTTCGGGAACACGTCAGCGAGTAGCTTGTGGTACGTGTTATCGTACATGGAAGCGAAGAAGAGGTTGAAGAAGGGTGATACGGTGTTCATGATAAGCTTTGGTGCTGGCTTTAAATGTAACAGCTGTTTGTGGGAGGTGATGAAGGACTTGGGAGACCCAAATGTGTGGGACGATTGCATTGATGACTACCCACCGGAGTCATTGGACAACCCCTTCATGAAGACCTATGGTTGGATCAACGAGGTTGAGGACCCGTACACTTACGAACATATTCCCGATTTTCTCAAGTGATATTATTCCTGCCAAGGAAGAGAAAAGTGAAGGAAAAATTAATAGGGCAAGATGGGACCCTCTTCATTCTTTAGATCTCTCTTTACAGGTGCATCCATGTAATTGTTCATTACTTTTTCTGTAAACTATACACTTATTATTGTTGAACCCAGGCCTCTAGGGTTCATTACCCAATAAGGTGTGCAGCTTCTACTACCACTCAAGAAGTTAATCGCACTGTCAAAAGGGTATTATGATTTTCCTTTTTCTTTTTTTCTTTTTACTTTGGTTTGCATTATTTGTTTAATTGTGTTATAATAACCAGTTTCTTTCCTTTTTGACAAAAAATAATTGTAATAGTTTTCGTTAACTTCTGTTTAATTAGATTATGCATTTCATATACTTGCATAATGCATTCAGCTATTTTTTAGTACGTTCTTTCCATTTATACTCTTTTTTTCTTTTCGGGGTGTTTCTTGGAAGGACTAATTCTTATATTCGAAAATCTGTCGCACAAACATATTTATAAGGCTTATAGCCTTTTGACAGACGAATTTAATTGTCTAGTCAAGGACGACAGCCTGGGCTTCTGTGTTGCTACTACCGTGTGTTGTTTTCATTAATTAATTATTCTTTTAACATAATTTAATTTGAGTAAATCAAATGGGTGGAAATAAATGCTAACAAGAAAATAGTGGAAATCATCCCTTTTCTATTTTTTAACGATAATATTCTGATTTCAAGATTATTAACACTAGTAAAGTCTTATTACTTATGAGGTATCTATTTTGATATATATTATTAGAGTCAGACATTTTGGGCTTAAATTACTTACCTTAATTGAGATTTCAAATTTAGTGACTTCGATAGAGCAATCATATATCTAAAGTTTTGTCAGATTCTACATGTATATCAACTTCACAGTTTTAAAGAACAAAAATATTTATAAACTATTTAGAATTTAGATGCTTAGAAGACTATTTCGGTGCAATGGCACCAGTTGTACGAGTGAGTGAGCAGAAGATTAAATAGCAGTGGTTGCAAGTATTGAAAAAATTGAACGGCAAAAAGAAAAAAATAAAATAAAATCCTTCTTTCTCAGTATACAGAAGATATACGGAAGCCCCAGAAAGTGACCCAGGTAATGGCTGATGAGGCCGTTTGAAGCCGTGGGGTCTTTTTATTAATGGAGTTTGCTCTTTCTTTCTCTCTTGACATGCATCATAAAATGCCATTTGATAATATAGACAAAGGAACACCATTAGAGCCTTTAAAATTTAGGATTCAAAATATTTTCGAGTTTAAATGTAAGAAAGAGAAAATCAAAGATCTAAACTCAAAACTCAACAATAATTGTTCTATCTAAATTTTCGGCTAGATGGTTTAGCTAGAACATCTTTGCATACATAACATCCAAACAGTGCGGTTGAGACCTCTCTTATGTCGCAAAATCTCCAAGATATATAAATTGTAATAAAAACTTTAAATTCGTAGAATTAAAACTTGAAAAAATAAATCTTATATTACATACGAGCGAATGCAATCAATCTTTCAAATCTAAAATAAAAACCATTTAGCAAATAAATAAAAAAACTACAATATATATATGCCAAATTGAGAGTTTTCCACATGGTTTATGAATTCCCTTTTATTCACAAACACAGTAAATTGGAATACAAAACATTCATATACGGGAAACCAGGTGATGAGGACCCCCAACTTGTGGGGTTACTTCTGCAGCAAAAACTAACATCAATAGACATGCAATAAATTTCTAACAGCATCCATCATATAATTTACTGTCATACTTGAAAGTCACACCACAAGTATTATGTTTAAAAACACCCTCGGCTTCATCAAGTTTCAATCGTTTTAATTAACTTGATGAAACTACTATATATATATATATATGTGTGTGTTATTTATAAAGAATAATTACAAAACAGTTATCATAAGTTTTTTATTTTTTAAAATTAAAATATTTAATTTAAAAAAAAAAACGCAAACCCTAAAATTCCCTGAACGTTAACATAAGCAACATGTGTAGTCAACACGAGTTTATCCTTTGACTTTCTCCAGTTCTTTGTCAAGCTCTCTAACTAAATCTTTAAAATTAAATCAAATTGATTAGTTATTAAAAACATAGTCTGTATATATTTTATTTTAATTTAATTTTTCGATTTAAGATCAGTATATAGGCCTGCTGCATGCTTCAATGTTTGTGTGGTTAGGATGAAAAGAAAAAGCGATAAGTGAAAAGTTAGGTGGAGGTATTTGGTGTTCCTTCTGAAAGAGAAAAAAAAGAAAAAAGAAAAGCCCGTTATGCATAGCAGAGGACAGGTAGGTAGGTAGTATAGAATGGTAAGTTTTTTGTGTGGTCCATTTTTGGAAGAGAGCATGATCTCGCAGTCTTGGTGTTTTAATTACAGTGATGAGATGAGAAGAAGAAAAATGGTAATTGAAAGTGTTTTTTCATGATAACAAGATATTTAAAACCCTAAGTATCTGAAAAGCTTGCGATGATAGGAATTAACAAAAAAGGTTATTTATCCTAAATAACTCATGCAGGCAGAGTATAACTTTGCTGGGTTTTGTTGGTGCAACAAGACAAAAGATGGCATAAAGGAGGACACAGGAGTAGGGTGTCCAATGAATAGAGGGTTTGAAGAAGGCACCCAAGTGACTCAACAACACAATAAATGTTTGTGAGGAAGGTGAACTCGGCGTTGGCCAAAAAGAACACAGAAGCGTGACGCTAATTAAGGTTCAGTGGGATCTGGTGAATTGTAGTAGAAATCAAATAGGGTGTGTGGTGTGGGGTTGGTCACTGCCACTCACTTTTCACTCACTCCATTTATTATTTTGCATTATCAGCCGAATGTTTGGCTGTGCTAACTTCAACTCCACTGTTCAAAGTACCGTGTTTTTAAAACCCTAACTGGTTAGTGAATACGCAAACACATCAATTTTAAATTTAAAGATTTAATTAGAATTTCATCACAATTAAATTAAATAATATTTTTAATAATTTAATTATATATCAAATAAATAATAATTTTATTAGTAAAATATAAATTTACTGTAAAAGAAATAATCAACATTGTTAAATACATATTATCAACATTGTAAATCTTTGTTGGAAAAAGACTATTCAACCTTCTCTCTTTTATTTTCTTTTTAGAAATTTTTGGGTAAAAAAGTAAAACGCCTTTTTCATTGGAGGCAAATAGGGAAAAGTCTGGGAACATCATGAAGGCTAGCCTAACACTACAGATGGCTGCTTCTTCCCTGTGCTGCCAGATTTTTCACTCCACAAGGGTGGATATGTAATGCTCAAGTAAGTATATGTCATTATAATGTTCAAAAAAAGTATTTAGATTATTCTGATTTTATTATAATATTTTATCTAAAATGGAGAATATTCTGATTTTAATATATTATTATTTTATTTTATTTTAAATTAAGATAAGATGATATATATAAATTAAGTCATAAAGATTACTGAAAAATAATATGTTAGATTTACTGCACTTAAATCTTTTAAGTCAAGTTGGTTGCAAGTTAATTAAGTTACATGTGAATTAATGCGGGGAAAAACTTATTGCAAAAGAATGAGAGATTTTAGAAGAAGAAACAGAGGAAGTAGAGGTATAAATGCTAGAAAGAGAGTGATCTTATTCCCTTCTTGGTTCAACTGAAGCAAATGTGAGAAGAGGTCAATTTTTCTTAACTTAGTCTCAGTTTCAAATTAAACCAATCTATTTATGAAGGGATTAATTTGGATAAGGTAATTAAATTCGTTAATAACATGTTAGAAATTAAAAACTAAAATGATTATTAATTATAAATATGTTCTTTAAATGTGAACTTTTTTTACTTTAAGGCATGAGATGAAAATGTTGAGTTAAATATATATATATATATATATATATATATATATATATATATATATATATATATATATATGAAAACTAAATCCCTATGTTTTATAAATTAATAAAGTTAGGGAAAAAATATAAATATTATGTAATTGTGTTGATCAAATAATTTTGGGTCCTCAAATTCAAAATTGGAGATCCAAAAAAATATCAAATTTAGATATTTTTATTTTGATTTTAACTAATCTGTCTAAATTTTTTATTTGAATTAGTTCAGATTTATTAATTTACATGTTGATCTAAATTCGTGGCTATTCCACTTCAAATAATGTAACTCATTTAAAATTATAAAATTTATCAAATCCAAAACATATATCATTTAAATTATAAACATAATAATGTTCTATTAAATTATATACTATAATCAGATTGGGATTATTTTGCTAAAAGATATAATATTTAAACAATTTAAACATATTTATTCCATATTTGCTTTTAACAATAAATATATGACTATAGAGAACATAAAATAAAGCACAACACAAAAAGGTTTTTTAAAGATAGTATTTTTTTATTATTTTTTTCATACGATCATGTTTTTCTTTAATTTACAAATACTGTCTTAATTATGAGGTTACATATTAAATCAATACTAAGAATAAATAATGTTACAAAAAAAAGATATAAATATTTGCATTGTCTGATAATTTATCTAGATCTAAAAGTATATTTAAATTAATATTTAAAAAATTAGCGGGAGAGATCTTTATTAGAACACGAATTACGCTTTTTTTTCATCGAAAGTTGTTTTAAATGAAACTTTATCTTGGTTTTCAATAAAAATTAAAGTTATTAAATTTTAATTTTTAACAACGCATCTAACACATTCTTTTACTAAAATTTGTTAATTTTTCAGTCAGTATCCTTGTGATACTTGTTAATGGAATACATATATTAAGTAAAATTAATTGGTGAATTATTGTGTAAAAGAAAGTAGCGCTAGTTCTTTTTTATCAAAATAAAATGTTTTTAAATTATTATTGAAATAATATTTTATTTATTAAACTTAATTCTAATATCCTTAAATTTGATAATGTTATAGAGGTTTATTTTATATTTTTATTTTCCAATATAGGAAAGAAA